TGCTTCAACGTGAACTTTATTCCAAGTCTCTATTATCCAATTATTTATCCAGTCATCTAGCACTGTTACCCATGCTGCTCAGTGGGTATCAGAGACTGACTGCTCTCCCATGAATCTGCGCATCAGCTCTCCTCAGGCTAGCTGAACTGTGCCTGAATAGATCTATTGCAGTTACCTCTGGCAGGCAAATAAGAGACTGCAGAGACTTAGCTAGATCAGGATTTCCCCTACCTCCTGTTGCTCCTCTGTTTCTTTACCTCTGAGGATGCAGAGTTATCCCCACCTCCTTCTTTCTGCAGTTCTGATCTTCTCCGCAACGCTGCTTTGTGCCAAAAACACAATGGAGCACGACTGTCCTGGACACTAGAGGGCCCTCTGAGATCTGTCCAGGAGCAGGAATCTTACGTTCAGCAACCCCAATGATTCCTAAATACCGAAAGAACTGCGGATGCTAGAAATCTGGAATAAAAACAGAAATTGCTGGAAAAGCTCAGCATCTGTGGGGTCTGAGGAAGGGATCACTGGACCTGAAATGTTAGCTCAATGATTTCTGCTGCTCTATTTCTGCAGTGTTTCTCACAGCTCTGGCAACAGCCATGTCCCTGCTGACTCTCCTTGGAATATAACTATTTATGGATCCCTGACTCAGGTAGAAGGAAGAAATCACAGCAACTTCCTGCCCAGATAATCACCTCATGATTACCTACAACTGATAAGAAATCATTTGATTGATTAAAAACTCCAGTTTGATCTCAAGGCAAATAATTGCAGCATACCTTCAGTCAGTGGCTGCCCAAGATCATTTTGGTATTTGTTCACAGAACGTGAGCATCACTGATGAGACTTACATTTATTCCATCCCAAATTTATCTTCAGATGGTGATGGTGAGCTGCCTTTTTGAACTGTCCAGTCCATGCAGTGTAGATGCACCCACAATGTGGTTAAGAAAGGACAGTGAAGAAATGGTGATACAGTTTAAATTCAGAATGGTATATGTCTTGGAGGGGAACTTGCAGGTGATGGTCTTCCCATATATCTACCGTCCTCACTTTCTAAGTGGTGGAGTCCATGGGTTTGATACGTATTGTTGAAGACTCTTCAGTGAGAATCTGCAATGCAGCTTGTAGATAGTGCACATTACAGTGTGGGAGTCAGTGAATTTTTAATGTAGTAAATAGGATGTCAGTCAGTAGTTTTGTCCAGAATACTGTCAAGCCTCTTGCGTATTGTGTGAGCTGTGCTCATCCAGGCAAGTGGGCAGTATTTTTCAATCACACTCCTGACCTTGAAATGATGTTCAGACTTCGAGGAATTAGGAAGTGAATTACTCATCGCAGAGCTCCTAGACTCCAACCTGCTCTTGTTGCCACAGTATTTACATGGTTAGACTAGTTACTGATCCCAGCAAATTGATGGTGGGAAATTCAGCAATGGTAAGGGAGAGTGGTTCAATTTTTTTTTGGAGATTATCACTGCCTGGTGCTTATATGGTGTGAATGTTACTTGTCACTTAAAAGCTCAAGCTTACTTGTCCAAGTTTTTCCACATGAAGACCCAGTCTGCATCAGTATACAAAGAGTTGCAAATGAAGCTGAACATTATGCAATCATTACCATGCGAATATCACCAGCTTCAGCTGGAGTACTGTGTTCACCTGTGTTGCCCTATGGAGCTACTTGTGACTGGAGAAAAAACTGCTGGTATTGCTTCTGTTGGTCGTGCTCCTGCTGGTCTTGCTCCTGTTCCTGCTGGCTTTGCGCCTACTCCTGCTGGTGTCTCTCAGGCTCTTGATGGTTTTGGTCCTGCTCCTGCTGGTCTTGCTCAGGTTCCTGCTGGTATTGCTTCTGCTGGTATTGCTCCTACTCCTGCTGGTCTTGCTCAGGCTCCTGTTATTATTGCTCCCACTGTATTGCTCCTGCTGGTCTTGCTCAGGTTCCTGCTGGTCTTGGTCCTGCTGGCACTGCTCCTGCTCCTGTTGGTCTTGCTTAGGCTCCTGCTCGTATTGCTCCTGCTGGTCTTGCTGCTGACGGCGTTGTTCCTGCTTCTGCTGGTATTGCTCCTGCTCCTGCTGGTGTTACTTCTGCACCTACTGGTATTGCTCCTACTGGTGTTGCTCTTGATCATGTTCCTGCTGGTGTTACACCTTCTTCTGCTGGTGTTTCATCTTCTCCAGCCAGTGTCGTGTCTGCTCCTGCTGCTTTTCCCCCTGTTTGTATTGCTCCTACTCCTACTGGTGTTGCTCCTGCTCCTGCTGGTTTTGCCCCTGCTTGAGTTGCTCCTGCTCCTCCTGCTGCTGTTGCTGGGACAGCTATTCTTCCTCATCCCTGGTCTATGAGCTGTCCCAATGCAGCTTGGAAGGCTGACACCACAGAAGGTCACATCAGAGTCAATCCAGTCCAAGGTGACACAAATGACACCCAGTATCACTTTTAAAGGAGTGAAAACACACTCTCATGATGTGTCCTGTTAGCAAAACCCTTTCACTGAGTAAAAGAAGCTGCTGCTTGTCTCGATTTCACAGCACTGTCAATTCCTGCTAAACTGCCTTTCTTGACCCTGGTGAGTTTCAAACCACCCAAGAATCTCTAGGGCTGGATACTGAGCCCGATGTCAACAAATGCTTAGCACATGCATCAGAGATCAAAATAAATGTTCTTTTGCAAGAACTACTTATTTTCATTTGTGGGGTTATCAATTGACTTTTAGGATTACGTTTTCATTCACAACACCTCACTTACTCAGTGATACCATCATGTAAATGATAACATATTTTGTACTTCTTTGATATATGGAATATTTGGACTCAAACTGGAGCAAAATTAGAATAAGTATCCTCCAATAATTTGCAACTGTCCATTAAACTTAAAGCCGCAACACACAAATAAAGCAATAATTTCCTGGACACCACATAGTTAGGACAAGGCAACATATATGTCACTTTCCAAAATAACTACATACTTATGTACACTTATAATATGAAAATCCATCACCTTAAAACACTTCTACAGATTAGGGAGATCACATCCATTGCATTTCCAGTGCACTTCCACAAGGCTTGAATGTTTCAACCAGGCAGTAACAACTTGATTTACTGAATTGTGAATTTCAATCCCAAATTTAAATTTAACAATTGGACAGTGTTTATTACAGTAGGATCCGCTACATGTTTTCCAATTACAGAAGCCATTATGCAGCCTCGAGCTAGAGATTCCACATTCATTTACAAGGAATTCATTATCTCGATGACTTAACATTTTCTTGAATCCGAATTAACTGAGTGGTCCACTGTTGACAAGTTCAAAGCGCTCTTTCCTACCCTACCCCCAACCCTTTTCAACCTATCAGCAGCAAACTTGGGAGAGAACCAATCTCTGACTAGAGCAGGGGTTCCTTAACAATTCCTTCCACTTTAGTTACAGGGCTATTTCGTACAATGCTTGTCCCCATGACTGAATTTTCCTGGGAGATTTGGAACTTTTGGGGTCAGATCTGCCTGCTGCCACTGTGTATTTTGAGAGTTGATCTGCACATCAAAGCAACTGCTTAACTGAACTGGACAGACATCACCACTAAAATAACACCACGAATATTATACAATGTGTTTTGTTCTACAATTGTCAATCAAAATTTTAAAGTTTGTGCATAGACTGATAACCGATCTTAAAAATAATTCTTGCGGATATCCTTACAGAGGTGGCAGGGCAGTAGTTCAACTGAATAGCTATAAATGTTCAATTGCTTCTTATATGTCTGAATGATACATATAGGTGTACACACATATTATATAATATATGGTATCTATTGCATATAATAGTATATATTGTGTACTCTGAGACTAGTATCAAGGGTTGTGAAGTGGTTATGAAATTAAGTTACTAACCTAGATGTTATGAGTTCATATCCTAGCATGGGATGCTTTGAAGTCAAAATCTGGTACTTTGCAGACTGGCATTAAAAAAAAATCATGCAAGTTACGCTTTGCTTTAAATTCAACTTGTTCATTCAGATCCTTCATCTAGTCTGTGAGTGAGTCTGGTCCCTACTGCAATGTTGTTGATTCCTAATGTCTTCAGGAGACATTGGAAAAAGTGACCATACTCTGCTCCAGCAGATAGTGAGACCCAGGGCATCTTTCTGCCAGTTGTAGCCAATCAGAGGGCCGGTAGCTCAGATGTGCCATTGCTAGTGGTGCCCCTGTAAAGTGAGATCATGGTCATGCACCTTCAAAGTTAGGCACATTGCATGTGGGATCAATGGGGTCAGACAGGCAACTCCTAGTAATGGGAGGATGGGGGTGAAAGGGGCTCTACTGAAGACAGGTGACGCTGTTGCCACAGGGCAGGCGACCTGCCTATAAATGTCTGATAAAGGTACAACTCAAAGGCCATTGATGCTAACCAGGTGATCTACACAAGCCCAGACTCCACCTGCTGGTCAAATGTCAGTGTGGCAGGAAGAGTGGCTCAAATTGGGCCAGCTGACGCCTTTCCCTCTCGCTGTGAACACAGCATGAAGGCAGGAAGTTTTCAGACAATCCATGTCTTCCTGCACCATTTTGCCAGTCTTCCAACACACACACACACACACACTTCATCCACACACACATATGCACACCCAAACACACGAATGAACACATATGATATTTTACTCAATGCACATACACACTGATACAATCAAACATACACTTCACCCATACACATACACACAGACACATATACAAACACACACACGAATAAATATTTCACTCATAGACACACACGCATTCACACACACAAACACATACACATGAATATATATTTCATACACAGACACACACATGAATATATATTTCACACATGAACGCACACACAGACACATCAAACCGACACATACACCCAAACATATATTTCAAACATAAACGCAGACATATCAGCACCTACAAAAGGACACACAGATAGACACATACCCAGATGTACATATACTTCACCCACATGTACATATTGATTGAGGAGTCATATACCTGTCTTTCCAATAATATTGGCCCCAATGTCCACAGATGTCTTCAATTCCAGCCAACAAATGATCCAAGAACTGCAGAAACACATTTTACAAAATCATTTTTGTTAAATATTAGCCATAACCATCTTGTATCTCATGTCATGAGGAATCTGACATACCCATGCCAGTATTTTGAGAGAAGGAATTCAGCGACTGTATTGTGCTGAAATGATACAGAAGTCCATTTGGATACATCAGGTAGCATTACCCAACCTTATTTGTAGGTATATCTGGAGCAGCTAGGACCCTCGACACCAGCTTGCTGTTGCTCATTGCCACTTTGAGTGGCCATTGAATCCAGGCAGGTCTATTCATGTCGGACAGTGAGGATAGACTAGTACCTTAGGTTTTACTGTCCATCATTTCTATAGTGGCAACGCTGGACACAAAGAATGTTACTGTGTTTGCCAGACACCACCGACACTGTAATGTGGGAGTTTAACATTTCAAAACAGCTTATTTTGACGACTTATCAATAGATAATACGTATCAAACTTGTACCTTCTCTTCAGCTGGTCCCAATCATTCATGCAGGTTAATACTGGAGAAACAACAATGTGCCATGACAATTACATAGTGTGTGATGATGACATTTACATATTGTCCCATTTATTGTCTCGTACCGAGATGTGTGAGTAATCTTGTACATTTATAAATGAACGTGTGTGCATGAGAAAGCGTGTGCACACATGTGTATGCATGTATGTACCCACGACTGTGTGAACTCAGAGGGCTAGGGAGATAGAAGTAGGATATTATGAATTATAAATGTTTACTTTATTCAAGATTTTGCTATTCCTGCTTCATAAGCAAGCATTTCTCCAAAAGGCAGTGAGGTTAGAGAAACAGAGAAGAAAGACTAATGAGTCATTCATGCTTGTTTGCTTATTTCAAATAGAGCATGAGACATAAACAACATAAAATTACCGAATCTACGACATCCTTTGTTACATTATTTAATTAAATGACATTTATCTCCAAATTACACAAGGGAGATTTTATACTAAGACTTTTGCCTGGATTGTTGTGGGATATGAGGGAGTGCTGCATTTCAGTGGCCTAGCTCTCTGATTCCTGGTGTGTGCCAGTCTGCAGCAAAGACAGACAGGCTCAAGCCTAGAGGTTCTGACCTCCTGAACACCAGGCTGGCAAGCTTCAGGTTACCAAATGGGCACCCTGAAGCAGCCTGCCAAGGAAAGATGTTGTGAAACTTGAAAGGGTGCAGAAAGGATTTACAAGGATGTTGCCAGGGCTGGAGGGTTTAAGATGTGGGGAGAGGCTGAATAGACTGGGGTTATTTTCCCTGGAGAGTTGGGGGCTGAGGGGTGACCTTACCGAGGTTTATAAAATCATGAGGGGCACGAATAGGGTGAATAGCCAAGGTGTTTTTGCCAGGGTAGGAGAGTCCAAAACCACAGGTCGTAGGTTTAAGGTGAGAGGGAAAAGATTTAAAAGGGATCTAAGGGGTAACTTTTCACACAGAGGGTGGTGTGTGTGTGGAATGAGCTGCCAGAGGAGGTGGTGGAAGCTGGTATAATTACAACATTTAAAAGGCATCTGGACGGGTACATAGCAAGGGTTTAGAATGATATGGGCCAAATGGGACTAGATTAATTTAGGATATCTAGTCGGCATGGATGAAAGGACCAAAGGTTCTGCTTCCATACTGTACAGCTCTATGACACTATGTGACTGCACCGACCACCAGCAGACATGTGCAGGAAGGACAGGAGCACTGTGAGAGGTGTGTGTGTGTGTGATGGTATGCAATTGCAAAGTTGATGGAGAGGGAACAGGTTCAAGGGCGGCAGTGTTGTAGGTTAATTTTGCGGGACCCAGCAGTCTGGTCCTATTGTCTGGGCCTCAGAACAATCAAAGTAAAATTTACCTTTACTGGTCTGTCTGGGTATCTGTCACCCATGGGACTGCTCAGTGCTGAGCTAAAATCACAGTCGGGCTCCTAGACGCCAAGTTGTATTTCTAAAGGTAGAAGAAAGAAGGGTGGGCACTCTCGGCACCTGGCAGTAGGCTGTTGCCAAAGTTAAAGTTGTGGTAAGGGTGCTGTCCATAGTCGCAGGTTGTTACTATCCCATTAGCGCCAGGTAACGGCAACGGTATCTTACAAGTGTGTAGCAATTGTATGCCTCGTTTTGAATGTTTGCGATCAAATTAATTAAGTCCCCTGCTTCAAAGAACCTAGTGACCTAATTATCAGTGAACATACGAACAAGCAAATGAAACGCACATAAAATCTGTTGAGATGACCCAGATGTTTCATTGTCAAACATAGATGTTGAGCAATTGACAATCTTTGTTGAACTAATACGGGGTGATATCACATGAATCCATACCAGGAAGCATGCACAGAACTTTACGAATTATATTATACCCTTCTCAACTGCAAACAAAGGACTGAAATAAAGTCAAAGCGCACTGAAATGCAATCTGTTAAAACAAAGTGAAGTTAGAACTCACAACAGTGGGAAGAAATACCACAGATTTGATGTTATGCTAACACATGTAGACATTGTAATTGACACTTACCCGAATATGAATCTGTTCACTTACAGTCGGAGGTGCTTGACTTGTTCGTTTCACTTCCAATAACTCTACAAGTGGTTTAATTGTCATTCCCTGTGACAATGAAGAGATCAGATAAAATTAATACAAAAGCAAAATAAAGCAGAAGTAAAGCTGCAGTAAGAACAAAAAAAGGTGGTCACACTCTGTAGTTTAGGCAGCGTCTGTGGAGAGAATATTTCAGGACTGTGAGCTTCATTAGAACTGAAGAAAGACAGAAATGTCAGATTTTTAAGCCAACAGAATGGATTGGGGGATAGGGACAGGAGGAACAAAACAGGAAGTCTACATTATGGTGGTGGATAGGAGAGTTAATTTATAAATGCTTACATGGTGCGGAATATAAATAGAGTGATTCTGGATATTGCAAACAAACAAATGTTGTGTTCAGATGAAGCACAAATGGCTACATAGAAGCCATCAGAATACAATATGAAGGAATAAAGAAAGAAGCAAGCCAACAAAAAAAACATATACAGGACAGATGGAGGAAGAGTAAACAAGCTTAAAGTTGTTAAATTCACCACAGAGTCCAGAAGGCTGTAGAGTTCCCAGACGAAAGGTAAACATAAACTGTTTTATAATTACCAGCACAATTCAGCCATCAGTGTTGTGATAAAAGTGGACTTTTATCTGTGTTTAATTATTTAATTGCCTTGTGTATCCACATTAAAATAAGATCACTCAGGATATATTTTAAGACAAAAGCATTAGCCCAGTTTCAGCAAGTTCACTGCAGTGATCATCACAGGTGTAAATCAATAAGGCATGAGCAATAAGAGATTAGAGATAGGCTCTTGTGCCACAGTGTTAATGCCCCTACCTCTGAGTCAACAAACCTGGGTTCAAGTCCCATCTGCTCCAGAATTTTGGACTGGTCCATATTCAAGAACTTAGCGGCCAACCTAAACGAATATGCCAGGACCATCACAAACTTCATTACTAAGAGTGTAGATGACTGTATGCTGAAGAAGTTGATCAGAATGTTCCCCAACCAGAAACCGTGGTTGAACTGGGAGATCCACTCCCTACTGAAGTCCAGGTCTGGGGCATTCAACTCGGGTGACCCTGACCTATACAAGACATCCAGGTATGATCTTCGCAAGGCCATCAGAGATGCCAAGAGGCAATACCAATCTATGCTTGAGAACCAGACCAATCACATAGACATGGCAAGGCTTACACAACTTAACTGGCTACAAAGCAAAGTCAAACAGAAATGCGGGCAATAATAAATTCCTCCTCAGTGAGCTCAATGCATTCTGCACTCTGTTTGAACAGAAAGGCAGTGAAACAATATCACCTATCCCCACAGCCTTGGATGCACCTGTACCCACTGACCCCACTGCAGATGTCAGATCGGCCTTCTTGAGAATGAACCCAGGGAAAGCGATTGGCCCAGATGGAGTCCCTGGGCGTGCACTCAGATCCTGTGCGGACCAGTTGGCGGGAGTATTCGTAGACATCTTCATTCTCTCCTTACTACGATCTGAAGTCCCCACCTGCTTCAAGAAGACCACCATCATCCCGGTGCTAAGAAAAATTGTGCAATATGCCTCAATGACTACCACCTAGTGGCTCTGACCTCCATAATTATAAAGTGCTTTGAGAGGTTAGTCACGGCTCACATTAACTCCAGCCTACCAATTTGCCTCGATCCTTTGCAATTCGCCTACCGTCTCACCAGGTCCACAGTTGACACCATCTCCCTGGCCCTACACTCATCCCTGGAACATCTGGATAACAAGAATATCTATGTCAGGCTCCTAATCATTGACTACAGCTCTGCCTTCAATCCCACAATCTCCAAACTCCAAGACTTAGGTCTCAGCTCCCCAACACCACAACCACTCCCCGGAATAACTGGATCCTTGACTTCCTGACCCATAGTAAGAATAGGTGACAACACCTCCTCTACAATACTCCTCAACACCGACGCGCCTCAAAGCTGTGTACTCTGCTCCTTACTATACTGCTTATACACTCATGACTATGTGGCCAAATTCTGCCCCAACTCCATTTACAAGTTTGCTGACGACGCCACCATTATAGGTTGGATCTCAAACAATGACAAGACAGAATTACAGGAAAGTGATTGAGTTCTTACAGGCACAGTGTAAAGACAACACACTCTCTCTCCCAATGTAAGCAAAATGAAGGAGCTGGTCATTGACTTCAGGAGCAGAGTGGAGGCCACGTCCCTGTCTATATCAATGACGCTGAGGTGAAGATGGTCAAGAATGACAGGTTCCTGGGAGTCATGATCACCAACAATCTGTCCTGATCCACCCATGTCAATGCGTTGGTCAAGAAAGCGCAGCAATGTCTGTACTCAGGACGCTGAGGGAAATTCGGCATGTCATCAAGGACTTATCAATTTTCAAAGATGCACCACAGAAAACAACCGATATGGATGCATCACCAAGTGGTATGGCAACTGCTGTGCCCAAGACTGCAAGAAATTACAGAGAGTCATGAACACAGCCCAGTTCTTCACGCAAACCAGCCTTCCATCCATTAACTCCATCTATACTACCCACTGCATCTGGAAAACAATCAAATAATCAAAGAACTCTCCCACCCCACTTCCACTCTTCCTCTCCCTCTTCCACTCTCATCCGTTTGGCAGAAGATATAAAAGTTTGAATACACGCACGAACAGCTTCTTCCCCATTGTCATCAGATGTTTGAATGGACCTCTTAAATGTCAATATTGACCTCACTCCCTGCACCATTTCTGTGATTGTAACACTGTATTCTTTACGCTGTTCTGCTACCCTGATGCACTTTGTATGGTATGATCTGCCTGTATAGCACACAAAGCAACACTTTTCACTGAGAGATAGTAGGAACTGCCGATGCTGGAGTCCGAGATAACAAGGTGTAGAGGTGGATGAACACAGCAGGCCAGGCAGCATCAGAGTAGCAGGAAGGCTGATGTTTCAGGTCTGGACCCTTCTTCTGAAATGGGGGAGGAGAAGGGGGCTCTGAAATAAATAGAGAGGGGGAGCTGATGATGGAAGGTGGATAAAGGAGCAGATAGGTGGAGAGAAGAAAGACAGGTCAAGGAGGCAGGGATGGAGCCAGTAAAGGTGAGGGTAGGGAGGGAGTTGGGATGGGGGTTGGTCAGTTGGGAGGAAGGGGTGGGTGGGTGGGAGGGAAGACGGACAGGTCCAGGAGGTAGGGATGAGGCTGGTAGGTAGGAAGTGGGGGTGGGGGTTGGTCAGTTGGGAGGGAGGGGGGGGCGGGTGGGAGG